AATATATGAAAATATATTTGCAATAACGTGTAGCATCCCATGTTATATAGTAAGGATTCAGTAGATGTTTAATTCAAATTCTTGAATAATAAAAAATACAGGAATTAAGACTGCTTGAAGGTTGGAAGAAAAACTAGGATGAATAAAACTAGTGTTTTCTATAAGACATGTTGTTAAGCACCACTGAGTTAATTCTTATCACAGAAACCCTGTATAGTGTTTCCAAGGAGTGTCTTGTGGGTTTGAACAGCCAACCATTGGGTTAGCAGTCCAGTGATTAGCTTACCATGCCACATCAGGACATATTAGTAACTGGAAGTTTTAAAACTTTAGTCTTTGGTAATGAAAACAAAGATTATGAAGAAATTTTGATGAATAAAATGAATGCATAATAAAACCGTGGGGATGGTTAGTGACTTCCAAAGTACATTTGGGAAGGCCACTATGAAGGATGGTTGTTTTGAGACAAAGAGATGGAGAAAATGAAGTTGACTATGTGGTGAACTGAGGTTACAGTGGCCCTGTAGAGCACAAGTGGTCGTAGAACACTGTGTGGCCTTAGCAGAAATGCTTTTTAGTTGTCCTGGAGTAGGGATGCATTATGTGTTCTTTTTTGTGGCTTTTTAAAAGCAGTGTGGCAGTGACTGCTTAGAGTATCAGATATTCAAAGCATTTCTGTAGTCAGATTTTAGGCTATGGGTCGGACCCGACTCAATGGCACTTAACAACAACAACAACAAGTATTATTTAGACCTAGAATAGAAGGTCACTTAGTTTTCTGGAGAACTGGTCCTCTGTTTATGGGTTTTCAGCAGTCTCCTGACTTGATTTTTCTCTTCCTCTGAGTCATAGTAAGGGTCTTTTTGGAAAAACCACTGTAGGGGTTAAGATTAACAACTAATCTCTGCATTTTAATTTTAGTCTTAAATGTGTGTTTTGTAGGCATGCCGTATCCCAAACAAACACCTCTTTTCACTGAATGCAGGAGAACGGGGATGCTTTTGTGTAGCTTTCTCCCAGAATGGAAGAATATTAGCCGCAGCGTGTGCCAGCAGGGATGGATATCCAATTATCTGTGAGTAGCCATCCTGTCTGTCTAACTTGAGTGTCATCTATGTGGAGCACAGTCTTTGTTTTTCAAAGTTTACTAAATCTTTGAGTCATCCCAGCAGTACGAAATTAAAAAAAATAGAGTTCTTGAAATAAAGTAACAACTTACTTTGTGATAATGTTATATTTGTTGTCTATATAATATCTTTTTTGAACTGCAAAGTGGTCAAATAAAGGGTAGTAAGCTTATTGTTCAAACGTGGTGGAACGTTTTCACAAGCATTTCTATTTCAAATATAGAAATATGAAGGTTAATACATTTCACGGGGATCATTAGTCCAATGTAAATAGTTGCTATCAGTGATAATTTGAGTTTATGGAAACCCTCAGATTTGTTAAGTACCAGAACACTAACACCATAGATGAAGACTTCTCAGTATGATAAGGAAATCAGCAACAGAGACCAAGAATCCCTCTCTCAAGTTGTCTTTAAAACATACAGAAGCCATGTGAACAAGTGGAATTCTTACTGTAGCTTAAGAGGGTTCTTAATTTTTTTAAAACTGTGCATTACCGTTCTTTTCTAGAAATTAGAAGCATTAAATACTCACCCTACTTCTTGCTCAGTAATGGAAAGCAGCCCACCTCAGAGACAACTGCCCTCAACACACAATTGGGTTGAACTTTTCCTCAGCTCCATACAACTTGTTATTCCTGAATGTCAGTGAGATCTCATAATTGACTTGATTGGGATTTAGTAAGTACGTAGGCCTCCTAAGGAAGTAATGACAGTTTTAAAAATATATGCAGAGTTCTCTATATAGTTGGATTACAATGATACTATCTTAAAAATACACCAAAAATGGCATAGTGGAAAAAATGATAGTTAGGAAATATACTCTAAAATATTAACCATGGTGCCTTTCGTTGGGGCAGTGGAGGAATGATTTTCATTCTGCCTTACATGCTTTCCAAATTTTCAGTGATGAATGTGTGTTACTTTATTCTCAAGAAATACAGTCTTATTCAAAATGTTAAATAGATTTAGATACAAGGGAGCTACAAAAGATTAATGGGAAAATGGAATGAAAAGATAGTGGAATTTTCCACAAACTTTTTGAAAGTTTGTTTGTATACTTAAGACAAATCTCAAACAGTAAAGAAGAATATAAACTTATGAAACTTACTAGGTGGCTGGCTGGTCCAATGAGGTTATTAATGTTAGATGACTGCTATGTTAAAAAAAGAATTGCGTTAAAAATCACTTTGATGCTGTCCTTTTTGGTAGCCAAATTACCCTCCCAGATATATATTGCCTTAGTCTAATAGCAGGGATCCCTGATGGTTTAGTGGTTAAAGCACCTGACTACTAACAGGATGATAGAGGCTTCGAACCTACCAGCTGCTCCACAAGTGAAAGACGTGGTAATCTGCTTCTGTAAAGAGTTACAGCCTGAGAAACCCTATGGAGAGTTCTGGTGTGACCCTGTAGGATAAGCATTCGTTTACTAACCACAAGGTAGGTGGTTTAAACCAACCAACTACTCCTCAGAAACCCTATACAGGGCTGCTATGAGTCAAAACAGAATCAGTAGTACTTAACAACAATAGAGTAACTGAGTTGGAATTGACTCAAGGACGGTAGGATTTTGGGGGGATTTAGGCTAATAACAAAATTACTTTGAATTGCTTGTAGACATTTTAACCATTAATTGTAAGAATGCCCATTAATATGGAAGGTGGTGAAGGTAATGCTATTAGGGGATTTGAAAGTTAACTGGTGTGATTCATACACAACTTTATGACTTTATTCAAAAGCATTTGACTTTTACAGGTCATAATGGCTCAGAGCAGCAAGTTAAATGTATCTGATACAATTTAAATGGGGAAAATAAGCTTCATTTACCGTATTTTAAGCAAATAACACCATTATACATGTTTTGTGTGAATTGCGTAGCCCCCTCTTGTGTTAGTTTCCTGTGTGTGGTTTGCCTGTTACATGTGTGTTATATGCAAAAAACCCAGCAGATGGAATTCACATATCATAAAATGTACCCTTTTTAGGTCTACAACTCAGTGGGGTTTTAGTATACTCTACAGAGTTGTGCAGCCATCACCATTATACAATTTTAGAACATTTTCATCATTCCAAAACAAAATCCCATACAATTTAGCAGTCACTCCCTATTTCCATCTCTTCTCCACGTGCTGGTAGCCACTGGTCTACTGGATATTACACATAAGGAATCATACAATAGGCAGCCTCTTAGGCTTGGTATCTTTTAGTATGTTACCAAAGTTCATCCATATTGTACCATGTATCAGTACTTTGTATGTTGTTGTTGTTGTTAAATGCCATCAAGTCAGATCCAACTCATAGTAATCCTGTCTAGGCTTTCCGAGGAATGACTGGTGGGTTTGAACCACCAATCTTATGGTTAGTAGTCCAATGCTTATCCCACAGCACCACACCAGAACTCCATTCATTTTTTGAATCAACAAATTTTGTTGATTAGTTCATCAGTTAATTCTGTGAGTGGATCATTTATGTTGGTTCCACTTTAGTATTGTCATGAATAATACAGCTATGAATATGTTTGTAGGCATTTTTGTATTGATGATATGTTTTGTTTTCATTTCTCCTGGGTGTATGCCTAGGAGTTGATTTGCTATACCGTACAGCAGTTTCATATTTAACATTTGGAGGAACTGCTGAACTGTTTTCTAAAGTGACTATGGCACTTTATAATCCCATCCACAATGTATAAGGATTCCAATTTCTCCACATCTTTGTCAGCAGTTTTTGTCTGTCTTTTTTATTAGAACCGTGTTGATGAGTGTCAAGAGGTATCTCATTATGATTGTGATTTGTATTCTCCTAGCAACAAATGATGTTGATCATCTTTTTATGTATCATCTGTTGGTCTTCTCTGATTGTCCGTATTCACTTTTAATGAGGTTATTTGGATTTTAATTTTTTTTTGCTTGTTTGTTGTTGTTGTTATGTGCCGTGGAGTCGATTCCGACTCATAGCGACCCTTGTTTGCTTGTAAGATCTCTTTATGTACTATGTATACAAGTCCCTTACTAGATAGATGTTTGAAAATATTTTCTTCAATTAGTGGTTGTCTGTACACTTTGCTGATGATCTCTTTTGTAGCACAAAACTCTGTAGTCCAAGTTCGTTCTTTCTTATTTTTTGTTTTTGGTGTTATTTCTAAATTTCTAAGCAAGTATTACTTAATCCAAGCTCACAACGATTTACTTTTGTATTTTCTTTTAAAAACTTGTAGAGTTTTGTAGCTTTAGCTGTTACCCTAGGTCTGTAATTCATTTGATTAACTTATTTATGTGATACAAGGTAATGTTTCCACTTGATTCTGTTGTGTGTGGATAGCCAATTATACCAGCACTGGTTTATCCCCAACTGAATTGTTTTAGGCTCTTTGTTGAAAGTAATTTGTCCATAAATGTAAGGATTGTTTTATCTGGACTTTCAGTTTTAATCCTGCAATCCTTACATCACTGTTGCAGTGCCCGTGTCTTGTTAACTATAACTTTGGAGTAAGTTATAGAGTCCATAAAGTTTTAGAATCCTCCAACCTTGTTCTTTTTCAAGATTGTTTTGGCTATTCTAGATCCCTTGCATTTCCATCTAAATTTTAGGGTTCGTTTTCAATTACTGAAAATATTTCAATGCAGCAGAAATTTGTATGGGATTGTACTGAATCTTTAGATCAGTTTGAGAAGTATTGCTATCTTGGCAGTATTAAGTCTTCTAATGCAAACCTATAAGGAACATATGGGATGGTCCATTTATCTTTAATTTTTTTCACTGATATTTTATGGTTTTCAGCATATAATTCTTTAAATCCTTTATTAAAGTTGTTGAATCATTTTATACTTATTGATTCCTGTTGTAGATGGAGTTTTAAAAATTTCATTTTCAGATTGTTTATTGCTAGAATCTAGAACTACTTTTTACATATTTGCTAGGATCTAGAAATAGATTTTTATATGCTTACCTTGTATATTGTAAAACATGCTGACCTCAGTCATTAGTTTAACCAGTTATTTGGTTGGTACCTTGGAATTTTGTATATACAAAGCCCTGTCATTGCAAATTGAGATCTTTTACTTCTTTTCCAAATAGGATATCTTCTATTTACTTTTCCTGTATATTTCCTGCGTAATTTCCGTAACTAGAATCTCAGGTACAGGGCTGAATAGAAGTACTGAGAATGTACATCCTTATCTTTTACCTGATTTTAGGGAGAAAGCTTTCATTCTTTTACCATTAAATATAATGTTAACTGTAGGCTTCTTCTAAAGGTCTTTGTCAGAAGTGGTTCCCTTTGTATTACCTTTTGAGTGTTTTTATCATAAAAGGAGCCCTGGTAACACAGTGCTTGTTAAGCGCTTGGCTGCAAACAGAAATGTCTGTGGTTCAAGCCTAGCCACTCTGCAGGAAAAAGATGTGAGAGTAGGCTTCCTCAGCCTTGGGAACCCTCTGGGGCAGTCTGCTCTGTCCTGTCTGCTCTGCCCTACATCACTGAGTTGGAATCAACTCTGCAGCAACCTAGCATGAAAGGGTGTTATATTCATTTTATCAAGTAACTCTTTCTGTTTCTATTGAAATTATCAAGTGGGTTTTGTCCTTTATTTACATGGTGGATTATGTTGTTGACTCAACTCCTGGATGTTGAACCAACCTTGCATTCCTAAGATAATTTCCACTTGGGCATGGTGTATATAAGGGGTAAGTCAAAAAGTACTTCTACCAGCATGGGTTTATTCTACACAAAACATATTTAAACATATCTCTGCCATCAGTTAATGGCTACAGGCAGGTTTGATTAGTAATACACTCATCACAGATTTGCTAGTATGCCTTCTTAAAAAAATGCTAATCCAAATAGTGGCTTCTAAGGGGATCTGCTGGGACAGTTAAAGTCAACCCAGAAAGGTCAGCACAGAATGTTGGCTACTATTTCTTGGGATCCCCAAGGGGTCGTCATGGAAGATTTTCTCCAAGGACACAGAACAGTCATGGGAGCTTATTAGAAAGAAGTTTTAAGAAAACTAAAAACTGGACTGTTTAGAAAAAGGTCAAGAAAATTTCACTGAAAAATTTTTCCCATCACGACAGTGTACCTGCAAGCATGCTATAAGTCAGAACCAACTTGATGGCACTAAACAACAATGACAACAACAAGGTCTGTCCTGTGAGATTGGAGATTTTGTTGAGATACTTTACTCTATCCATTCTAAAATCCTAAACTTGCCTTTTAGACTTCTTTGTTCCCCAAACTCCAAGAACATTAAAAAGAAACATTAAAAAGATTTGAGCCCCTTGAAGATGACAAAACTGCCAATTTGACATAGTATAGAGTACAAGATTCTTTGGGAAAAGGTTAGAGAGATGGAAGCAGCGCCTTCAGAGGTGTTCAGACCTAGATGGAGGAGATGTCGAGGAACACTGGCTTCATATTTTCAGATTTTTAATGGAGGTTTTGTTTGTTTGTAGCAATACATTGTAACGTATCCACATACGTTAACATATATTTTATATGTTGCTGAATTTGCTTGGATTTTGTTGAAGATTTATATATATATATTTACTAGGGATATTCGTTTGTAACTTCCTTTTTTTGAGTGATTTCTTAGTTTAGTTTGGTATGTCTATCAAGATAATTCTTGCCTGCCAGAATGAGTCTTAATGTTGGGGAAAGTATTTGTAAAGGTCAAAACTCGTGTAAACAGCAGTTAAGAAATCAAACAATATGTGATGTTAGGCAAATTTGCTGCAAAAGACCTCTTTAAAGAACAAAGATGTCAATTATTATTCGGTTTGTATAGTTTGCTGGACTGTATGCAGAAGAACACGGCACTGGGCTTGGAGGAAGACTCATTAACAATCTGCCATATGCAGATGATACAACCTTGCTTCCTGAAAATAAAGAGAACTAAGAATATTTAACTTGTAGATTAGAGATCACAGCCTTCAGTATGGATTGCACCTCAATGTAAAAAAAACAGAAATCCTTGCTTGACCAGTAAATAACATCATGATAAACAAAGAAAAGATTGAAATTGTCAAAGACTTCATTTTACTTGGGTCTACAATCAGCAGTCATGCCAACTGCAGATTATTAATGAAGAAATCAAGCATATTATATTAGTCAAATCTGCTGCACAAGACCTCCTTAAAGTGTTGAAGAGCAAAGATGTCAGTTTGAGGACTAAGGTGCCCCTGACCCATGCTGTCGTATTTTCAGTATTCTCATATGCTTGTGAAATTGGGCAGTGATTAAGGAAGACCGTAGAAGAATTGGTGTATTTGTGTTACAGTATAGGAGAAGAGTATTAAAAGTACCATGGACTGCCAGAAAAACCAACAAATCTGTGTTTTAAGAAGTACAGCCAGTACTATAAGAATAAGCAAATTCTTCACTGGGAAGCCATCAAGGCAAGCAATCAAGACCCTTCAGGACAAACCCCACTCTAAGACTGAAATTCAAAGGGAACACATGAGCAGGCATGTAAACTTGCTGGCAACCACATTGGTCTACTGGTGAGTAGAAGAGGGGGAAAGGCTCAATGAAGAAATGGGCTGAGTTCAACCATATTCTTTTGACCTGGAGATGAGAGAGAGAAGAGGACAAGCTGGTTGGTTGGAAGTGTGGTGAGACCAGGGGACTCTTGAGCCCACGGACAGGGACATAGCTATGGAGGGCTAGAGCTGAGAGTGAAGCATCCAGCTGATATGAAGTGAGGGGAGATGCACAAGAACACCCAGACTTGCATATAGTAACCATTTGACCTAGCCATGATGGCTTGATAATCAGAACTCAACCAGAGGAAGATAATCAGAACTCAACCAGAGGAAGATAAAAAAATAATTTTTGATAAAGGAAATGAGGGTAAATTGCTATAATTTGATGAACTTTACCTATGCTGATAGATATTTTGTTGTTGTTAAGTGCCGTCGAGTCGGTTCCGACCCATAGCGACCCTGTACAGGGTTTCCGAGGGTGTAAATCTTTACGGGAGTAGAAAGCCTCTGATAGATATAGTAGCTCAAAATACCAACAAAGAGGGAAGAAGTCTTCACACCAAGTATCAATGCTATCCCCTCTGTATACAGGGTAGATAGGGATGAGAAACTTAGACATTGACTACCTAAAATGGTGGTGGTGATGGTTTTGTGTCGTGGAGTCGGTTCCGACTCATAGTGACCCTGTACAGGGTTTCCGAAGCTGTAAATCTGTAGGGGAGCAGAAAGCATCGTCTTTCTCCTGCGGTTCACAGTCTGATTCATAACCACTACACTACCAGAACTCCTTAAAATGAGGGGGCGATAAAGGCACTAAGTGACTGGCTTAAAAGTTTTCAAGAAAGAGTGTAGTTTAAAAGTGTATGGGGAAAGATAGAGTCCCCACTGAATAGTTTTCATCTTTTCTAGATGGGTCTGGTGAAAAGAGATGGGGATAAGATTCTTATGATTCAATAGCAAGTAATTGTTATCATGACAAATTGCAGCGGTCACAACTGTAAAGGTAGAAGTTTTATAACGAAAACAGGGGAGTAGTTAATCTTATAGTCCAGAAACAGAGGACCTTAGGACCATCAAGGGAGAAGAGCACAAGCGGAATACTGGACCCTATCCAGAGAAGCAGTGACACCAGAGATGGAGGCATAGATGGGGACATGGAGAGAGGGAACAGCTGAGGACTGTAGATTCTTGGAAAGAGAGGGACTGAGAGCTGGCGGCCAGGAGGCAGGCTTGCAGAATGTGCCTTTGGTGGTTTAAATTATTATATATGCCTGAGTGTTTTTTGTTTGTTTGTTTTTTTAAAAAAGAGCTAAAGTGAATAGAAATACTGCTAACTAATGGTACATGGAAGGGATTATAATCATTGTAATGAAACAAAGTATATGATTTGTTGAATGTAAAACTGATCTCCCCTGTTAACTTTCACTCAATTAACAATAAAAACTTGAAAAAAAAGTACAGCCAGAATGCACCTTAGAAGCTAGGTTGATGAGACTTTGTCTTTCATACTTTGGACATGCTATCAGGAAGGACCAATCTCTGGAGAAGGACATCATGCCTGGTGACGTGAAAGGTCAGCAGAAAAGAGGAGGATTAGCACAGTGTCAGCAGCATTGGGCTCCAGTGTGACAGCTATTGTGAGGATGGAGCAGGACCCTGCAGTGCTTTCATTCTGTTGTGCAGAGGGTCGTTGTAAGTCGGAGCCATTTGGACGGCACCTAATGACAACAGCGGCAATGTTTAATTTGTTGGTTTACAATTCTTTGTAATATCAAAACCCAAAACCAAATTTATTGTTTTAGGAACAATTTTGAATCATAGTAACTCTACAGGCCAGAATAGAACCGCCCCACGGTGGCCAAGGCTGTAAATCTCTACCGAAGGAGACTGCCATTCCTCCCACCAGGTGATGGGTAGGGTTGTACAATTCACCTTGGATTCTTAGCTGAGGGCTCTATCACTGTGCTACCGAGCTCTTGATTGTTTATATAGTTCCTTAGCATCCTTTTTACTTTGGTAATGTAAATGTCTACTCTTTCCTGGTGTTAATAATTTGAGTTGTTGTTCCCCCCCCCCACCTTGGCCAGTCTTTCTGTTGGTTTGTCCATTTTGTTGATCTCTTAAAAAAAAAAAAAAAAAAGCAAAATGTTATTTCTCTTTTATCCTATGTGTATAGCTCTTATTTTCACTCTAATCTTATGATTTCTTCTTCTGAAATTAATTTTTTTCTAGTATCTTAAAATTGAAAGGTAGGAAAAGAATTTTAGATATGCTTTATTTAATATAAGCATTCACAGTAGATTTTCAGAAGTCCTCAATTGCTGTATAGAAATGCTGCCAGCATGTTTAGTATTGTAAGGGAAAAATACTCACCACTAGGTGGGAGTACAGACTTGGAAACTATGTAAAATCTTTGCTAAGTATCTGAGGAGATTGCATTGCATTGTTCCTGGGAAAATGTAATAAATAAGTGATCACGGAATCTTTCCAGGAACTGTTTGAAACTCTTCCTCATGTAACATTGATCAATGTTAATCCTAGTGCTTTTTCTATCCAACTGTTTCTTTATTAATTCACTTACTATACCTATAGTTTCAGTATTTGATATTTTTTTCTTGGTAATGCTACAGTTTAAATTTCTCATTACATAATCAAAGTTTTGGTTGGAACTTATTATCAAATGAAATGATACAGTAAAACATGTTGAAAATTGGAACAGGTGTAAGGCAGAAACCTGTCACGAGAAAACTTAACTATTTTCCACTAAAACAAACAAGAGACAAGTGATAAGACTGCATCCTGTCAGAGGCAGAAAACCCAGACCTCAGGGCAGTTCTGTTGCGTTCCAGCTCTCCCTGTGTCTTACAGGTATCTTACTGTTGAATATAGTTACGTAGCAATTTAAATATTATTTATTATTTGATTAGTGACTTGAATATCACAGATCTTATGAGAGTTGCTTTGAAGAGATGAGAATAATTTCTTAATTGTAACATAAGATTTTATGTAGTTTAGTTCTTGCATTTAAAGTGTGTGAAAAGCTATTCTTATGAGGTTCTGAAATTTGTTTGCACTGCAGTATCACTGATGATAATTTTCTTTCAGATAGCGCTTGCCTTATGCCCAAGCTACTACCAATTAAGAATTTGTGTATTACTAAATTAACATTTCTCTTTGTGGAAACCTCCTGATTTCTCAATATTTTTATTAGTGTATGAAATCCCTTCGGGACGATTCATGAGGGAATTGTGTGGCCATCTCAATGTCATTTATGACCTTTGCTGGTCCAACGATGACCGCTATGTCCTTACTGCATCGTCGGATGGCACTGCCAGGTTAGTATACTTGAGAAGCACTCATTGTGTGTACTTGTTTGCCATCAAGAAAAACAAAGAGATCAGCTACGTTGTGTCTACTCTAACTGTACTTGTGCTTTTCTCAGGGTTTGCCTGTCAAAGACGTTCTCTAAATACGTATTATACAGACTGATTGAACATAAGTAATTGTGAAAGCTTTTTTTCTTGGAGATACTTTTCTTGAAATAATATAGTGTGGTGCTGTGGGCTAATGGGATGGACTGCAAAGTCAGTTTGAACTGCAAGGTTGGCGGTTCAAGCTCACCAGCTGCTCCTTGAAAACCCTATACAGGATTGCTATGGGTTGGAACTTACTTGACGGCACTTAACAACAGCAACAACAACATACGAGAGTAAGGCAGAAAGAACTGCTACAAAATCATAAAAACCTTTTTTAAACAAAAATATCTAGAAGCTATTGTTTCAGGGGTCTGGGACAAGATGTTGGAATAGGCAGATGCACTGAGCAGATCTTCTGCAGCTGAGACGTGGGAGAACAAGTGAAAAGATACAGGGGATCCTGGAACCCTGAGCTTCAAGAGTACAGGACAGAGACGTGGATTGAGCGCTGACTGGAAGAGGAAGCTCAACAGGAGTGGCAGAAGAGAAGAAAAGTAGGCTGCTTGTCAGCTGTCCAGCGGCTGCTGACACAGTGGTCTATAAACACAGGATGTGGCTAGAGGTGGGAGACCAGGGCCGTGAAGTCTTGTTCCCACGCTCCCCTGGGACCTGGGGTGTGGCCAGTCTCGTCATCCCCGATGCAGCAGCCAGTGGCACCCCATCCTGGGCAGCCTCAACTGGGGTCAGGTGGCAGCACATACCCCTCCTCTGGAACCTCTGTCTGGTGTCAGGTGTCTGGCATACCACCCTTCTGGAGGCAACGTGAACCCACGCTGAACTACGCTACAGAAACAGCAAACAGAGAACTGTATTCAAACTCCTATCTCCACTAGGAGACAGGTGATGAGTGTCTGAGAATGCACCAACATGCAGTCATCAATTAAATATAAATACAATGAGACCATATGTCTCAATGAAAAGAGACAATTTCAGTTTACATGAAGAAAAAAGACATAGTGCCTCAAACAAGTGATGAAAATACAGTCCGAAAATATAATACCAGAAATGGTATCAGAACTACTTGGTAAGGAATTTAAAAGAATGCTATTTAGGTACCGTCAACAAATTGAGAGACAGATTAGTGAAGGCAAGGAAGAAGTCTGGAAAACACTACAAGCCCTTCACAACAACAGTGGGCCACATAAGGCTCATTTGCTCGCTCTGCCAAAGCAACTGCAGTTCCAGTCATCATACTGCTTGTTGTTGTTAAGTGCCGCCGAGTCGGTTCTGACTCATAGCAACCCTGGATAGGGTTTCCAAGGAGTGACTGGTGAGTTTGAACTGCCAATCTTGCAATTCAAACTGACCTTGCAGTCATGCCAGGACTCTAGCCATCACAGTGTTGTTGTTGTTGTTAAGTGCCATGATTCGGTTCTGACTCATAGTGACCCTCCCTGGATAGGGTTTCCGAGGTAAGGCTGGGTGAGTTTGAACTACTGACCTTACAGTTCAAACCGACCTTGAGGTCGAGTGCTTATCCTATAGCACCACACCAGGACCCCTGCCATCTCATTAGGAGTTAGTTAATTAAATGTTTGACCACATATAGCAGGGTAGTTTTTAAGTTGGTAATTTTGTATGGTGTATGAATAACGCTATAAATTTTGGCAGAAAAAACGTTCCCCACCTCTGCCCTAAAGGAACCCTGTTGGCTGCTCCTCAGGAGAAAGAAGAGACTTTCTGCTCCTGTACAGATTGACAGCCTCAGAAACCCTATACAAGGTCTCTGTGAGTTGAAACTGACTCGATGGCACACGACAACAGTGTTTTACCTAAAGAATTCTTTCATTTGAATCCCATCAACATGGCGAGGAACTCCAAATATTCTTTGAGTCTGGGGAACAAAAAAAGTCTGAAGGGGCAAGATCGGAGCCATAAGGTGGGTGGGATAAGTTTTCTCAATGAAGTTCCCAATTCTCATAGCGCAGACCTTGTTACCTTGAAGTATCAGCAGGTGCATTGTCGTGATGGAAAAAATTTTTCAGCACAACTTCCTTGGCCTTTTTTTTTTCACTAATGCAGTTTTTATTTTCTTCAGTCTTTTTTCTAATAAGCCGTTGTGATTGTTGAGAAAATCTAGTAAGGTGACCCATTTGGGATCCCAGTAAACAGCTACCATAAACTTCTGAGCTAGTCTCTCTGCCTTGAACTTAACCAGTCCAGCAGACAGCAGGTCCCCTCAGGATCCACTGTTCTGATGGGACCATTGACCTCCCTGTCTCTCCAGCTGGGAACCTATTAATACAAAATCCTCAGGAATGCATCTACTTCATTTGTTTTCAATACAGAAATTGTGTGGAATGTTAGGTAATGCTAGAGAACTATATATACAAGGGTGTATCCAAAGTTTGTGGAAAATCAAATGAAAAGAAATAGAGTTTTTCCTGGAACGTTTTGAAACCCTCTTTAACATGGCCTAACTGTAGATTTGTAAACCTGAAACTCACCTGAGCTCTCCTTTCTGCTGAGTATCCTTTGAACTTACCCTTAATCAGTTTCCTTTTCTTCTTCCTGTGGCAGCACATCCCTCCTTGTCATGGATTAGGTCTTCTCTAGTAAATCCAAATAGTCCTACCTTCGTGTATGGTAGCCAGACATCAACTTTTCCTATATTTTATGTTCACTCCGAATATCTATAAGTTTATCCATCTTTATTGAGCTACAGTGAATTTACGTAATATGGCTCTTCTATCCAAGGTCTTTGAAACTACCACCAGATGATTGGGTAGGGCATGAAAATAGACTTGAATGCAGAGATTGGTCATTTTTGTTATAATGCTGGATCTAAAATTAGCCACCTCAGAAGTGTGAACAGAGGATATCAAGACCATCAAGAAAGAAGAGCCATAATCAGAACATGTCAGTTGGACCCCTAGATCCTTGAGAAGACAGTAACTACAGCCTGGAGAGGCCGAGCATCAGGCTTCCTGGTCCACTGACTGAGTGAGGCTAAATGCCTTTAGGGAGTCGGCTGTCTTGCAGATTCGAGTGTTCCCTTGGCCATTTATCAGTGGCACTGCCAAGCTTGACCTGGTGTGTCGCTATGGGTTAATATGCTGGACTGAAAAGTCGGTTTCAAGCTCACCAGCTGCTCCTTGGAAACCCTAGACAGGGTCGCTATGAGTCAGAACCAATTTAGTGGCACTTAACAACAGCAATTAGGAGCTTGTAACACTTGCCCAAACAGGGCAGTAGTTGTGAAGTTGAGAACCAGAGAGAAGCAAATCAGCAGTACAGCTGAGAAGTGGTATTCCTGAGCGGAGAACTGCCGTATTCTGAGTCGTTTCAGCTCCTCAGTTGTACCCTGTTAACTTTACTAATAAGCACCTTAATCTGTGGGTTCTCTGTGGCCATTACATTGAGTCATCAGAGAGGCAGAGAGCTGTGGAGGAATGGTTGGTGCCAGAAAAGGATAAAGAAGGTGGGAGAATGGAGGCATGTCTATCTACTTCCATCTCCTGAAATCAACCTCGGATAAACGATTCTCCTCCTTCCCCCTTGTATGAACACACCATTTTTGCATTTATCTTTCTCTGAGCTTTAAAGCCTCAGAAACATTATACAGGGCTGCTATGAGTTGAACCAACTTGATAGCACTTAACAATTCTTCTTATATAAAGAAGAACATGACATCAGGATTGGAGACTTATTAATAACCTGTGATATGCAGATGATACAACCTTGCTTACTGAAAGCAAAGAGCATTCAAAATACTTAATGATATAGATCAAAAAACGAAAGCCTTCAGTATGTGTTGGATCTCAATGTAAACAAAACACAATTGGACCAATACATAATGTCTTGATAAATGGAGAAAAGATTGAAGTTGTCAAAGACTTCATTTTACTTGCACCAATTACTAACGACCATGAAAGCAGCAAACAAGAAGTCAAACCCTGTATTATTGCATTAGGTAACTGTTGCAAAAGATCTCTCTCTGAAGTGTTAAAGAAGTTGTTTTTCAGGAATGTCTGGCCCAAGCCATAGTATTTTCAATCATGTGACAGTTAGACAATGAATAAGGAATCAGGACAACTGTAGGAGAACCTGTGCATTTGAATGATGGTGTTAGCAAAGAATATTGAAAGTACCATGGATTGCCAGGAGAACAAACCAATCTGTCAAGGAAGAAGACCAGCCAGAATGCTTCTTAGGAGCCAGCATGGTGAGATTTCATCCTTCAAGTGTTGTCAGAAGGGACCAGTCCCTGGAGAAGGACATCAAGCTTGGTAAAGTGGAGGGTCAGGGAAAAAGAGGAAGAGCACCACTGAGATTGATTCATTGGCAGCAACGGATGGGCTCAAATCTAGCAACAGTTGTGAGGTCAGTGTTTCATTCTGTCCTACATAGGGTTGCAATGAATTGGAACCTCCTTAACGGCATGGAACAACAAAAGCTGCTCTTAATGAAAGGTAAGGGGATGGACCCCTAAAGATAATCTTTGACCTGTGCTCTCAACCTCAGCCCCGTAATTTATGGTTTTGTTATATCTACTTCCTACCACTCTTGGTTCTGTAATACCATTCTTTCTGTTGACTCCTCACCCTCATCTTTAAAACATACCCAAATCGCCTCATCTTTAAAATATACCCAAATCACCTTTTCTGCCTTTCAGACCAGCACATTTGTTTCTACACCATCCAGGAACATTCTGTGCACATTGTTTCTGCTTCTCAGTGAGTCTGCCTTTCCTCTCACAATGCTGTACAAATTCTTATCAGATGTCACAATCTCTTGCTAATTTTCAAATCCAGTAGTCAGTTTTAGCCCTTACTTGGTTTGCCTTCATTGGAGTAATTGATTTTTGCCCTCTTTTGGCACTTTTTCAGTTCATTAATTATTTTTCTCTTTCTCAACTT